TGAGGCCGGTTTTGTTCAATATCTTCATTAATGATTTGGAGGATGGCGTGGATTGCACCCTCTGCAAGTTTGCAGATGACACTAAACTGGGAGGAGTGGTAGATACGCTGGAGGGTAGGGATAGGATACAGAGGGACCTAGACAAATTAGAGGATTGGGCCAAAAGAAATCTGATGTGGTTCAACAAGGACAAGTGCAGAGTCCTGCACTTAGAACGGAAGAATCCCATGCACTGCTACAGACTAGGGACCGAATGGCTAGGCAGCAGTTCTGCAGAATAGGACCTAGAGGTTACAGTGGACGAGAAGCTGGATATGAGTCAACAGTGTGCCCTTGTTACCAAGAAGGCTAACAGCATTTTGGGCTGTATAAGTAGGGGCATTGCCAGCAGATCGAGGGACGTGATCATTCCCCTCTGTTCGGCATTGGTGAGGCCTCAACTGGAGTACTGTGTCCAGTTTTGGGCCCCACACTACAAGAAGGATGTGGAAAAATGAGAGAGTCCAGCAGAGGGCAACAAAAATGATTAGGGGGCTGGAGCACATGATTTATGAGGAGAGGCTGAGGGAACTGGGATTATTTAGTCTGCAGAAGAGAAGAATAAGGGGGGATTTGATAGCTGCTGTCAACTACCTGAAAGGGGGTTCCAAAGAGGATGGATCTATCCTGTTCTCAGTGATAGCAGATGACAGAACAAGGAGTAATGTTCTCAAGTTGCAGTGGGGGAGGTTTAGGTTGGATATTAGGGAAAACTTTTTCACAAGGAGGGTGGTGAAGCACTGGAATGCGTTACCTAGGAAGGTGGTGGAATCTCCGTCCTCAGAGTTTTTAAGGTCAGGCTTGACAAAGCCCTGGCTGGGATGATTTAGTTGGAGATTGGTCCTGCTTTGAGCAGGGGGTTGGACTAGATGACCTACTGAAGTCCCTTCCTGATATTCTATGATTCTGTTATTCTAATGGAGCATCTAAAACCTCCATCAGAGATGAAATTTGCTGAAATGTGGAAAATAATTGAAAGAAATTTAAACAGCACTTCACTCTGTATCTGCAAGCAATGGGTGCAATTGATAAGGAAGACATTCAGAAGGTAGTCTTTTTTTTCTGACAATATCAGGTTCCAATGCACTTGATGTGTTCAACAGTTTTCAATTAACTCAGGCACAGAAAGCTTACTATGAAACTGTATTACAAAAATGTGAGCTGTTTTGCACTCCACATAACAATGAAACATATGAGGAAAATTTTTCACCTGAGAATACAAAAGGAAAGTGAAACTATTAAAAAAAAGTTTTTGACTGCTCTAAGGCAGTAGTTTTCAAACTGCAGGTTGTGACTTGGCACTGGATCATGGCAGCTCTGGTCAGCATCAACTACCGGGCCATTAAGTCCCATCATTGGTGCTGCCCGGCTAAGGCAGGCTAGCCCCTACCTGTTCTGACACCACGCTGCACCCCAGAAGCGGCCAGCAGCAGGTCCAGCCTGGGGGGGGTAGGGGGGGTGCCACAGGGCTCCGCGCACTGCCCCCCCCCCCAAGCACTGGCTCCGTGCTCCTATTGATCAGGAACTGGCTAATGGGAGCTATGGGGGGGGCAGTGCCTGCGGGTGAGAGCCACACAGAGCTGCTTGCGGTCCTCCGCCTAGGAGCCGGACCTGCTGCTGGCCATTTCCAGGGCGCAATGCGGTCCACGGTGCCAGGACAGACAGGAAGCCTGACTTAGCACTCCTGCTGCGCCACTGACCAGGAGCCACCCAAGGTAAGCCCATGCCCCAATCCCCTGCCCCAGCCCTGAGGCCCCAGCCCTGAGGCCACCGCCAAACCCAGAGCCCCTTCCTGCACCCCAAACACCTCATTCCTGACCCTACCCCAGAGCCTGCACCACCAACCCAGAGCCCTGACTCTCTCCTGCACCCCAACCCCCTGCCCCAGTCCTGAGCCCCACAAACCTGGATCCCCCTCTTGCACCCTAAACCACTCATCCCCGGCCCCACCCCACAGCTCTCACCCCCAAACCCTTTTCCCCAGCCCTGAGCCCCTCCTACATCTCAAACCCCTCATCCCCAACTCCGTTGGGTCACAGGCATCAACAATTCTCTTCAACTGGGTCGCCAGAAAAAAAGTTTTAAAACCACTGCTCTAAGAGTTTATCTACATAGCACAAGATGTGCAAAGGCAAGCCTATCCTAGCTAGCTTGAATCTAACTAGTACAGGTAGCATTAGCAGTGACAACAGACCAGTGCGAGCTTCAGAGCAGGCCAACAAGCCAAGTATGTACTAAGGCTCTGTGCCAGGCTTGTGCTCTCTACCCTGAAGCTTGCACTGCACTGTCTTCATTGCTACTGTTATTCACAGCAGCTAGATTCAGCCCATCTTGGGTGGGCTAGTCTTTGCACAGCTTTTGCTGTGTAGACACATCCTAAGTCTGAAGAGCCAATATTGCAATTCTGTCCCCAATAAGAGACCAGATTGAGATTGGAATCTGGAACAAAAATCTCAGAGAGAGACTACTGGGAGAAGCAGAATTAACCCTTGACAAGGCCATTAGAATTTGCCAAGCAACATAAGTCACCCAGTCCAGAATGAACCTTATGGAGGATGTACAGTGCTCTGACAATGTAGACATGATAGAGAATCCAAAATACCACAAAAAAAGAGACCTGAGGCAAAAAGTCACATAGAGCTGAAAGTCAGAATCATGCAAAAACAATAGCACATGGAGCAACACATGTTGTAACAAACAGCACAAGCCGGGACAATGCTCAGCATATGGGAAAAGATGCAAGAATTGCAGTTGGCTTCAGCACTTTGCAAGAGTTTGCAAGCACCAGATGGCTGATACCAAGTACTTTTCTCTGCTGATGTGTCAGCAGGGTTTTGGCAGTGCCCTTAGAAAAACAGAGTACACATTTGTCCTCATTCAGCACTTCCTCTGGGAGCCACTATTTCCGCATACTGCCATTTGGGTTGTGTTCAGCACGCAAGGTAGATACAAGATGGAAGATACAAGATGTTTACAGTAGAAGAGTATGACCAAAGGGCTCCAGGCAGTTCTAGGAAGAGCCAGAGCTGCCGGGCTAATGCTAAAACAAACAAAAATGTAAACTCCATATTATGGAAATAGCATACCTGAAAGATACATTAACACAGCAACATGTATAGGTAGATCACAGTAATGTTGAGTGAGGCCATTACCAACACATCTGTCCCAACAGAACAGGAAAGGGTACAAAGATTCCTTGGAATGGAGTACTATGTAGGGAAATTTTTGCCTCATATAACTACTCAAACCAGCAACCTGGAAGTGCTACTGTGCAAAGATGTCCAATGGACATGGAATGAAATTTTAATAGTGAGTTTGAGAAACTGAAGGAGTTAATTAAAGATGACTCAGTCAGGAGATATTATGACAGTAAGCACAAGACTAAGTTGTCCATCGGTGCCTCCAGAAAGGGTAGTGGCACAGTCCTCTTATAACAGTGTAGTCAACTGGAGATGAGTGGCTTATGCATCATACATGCTAACAAAAACGGAGTGTCAGTATACTCATATAAAGAAAGAGGCTTTGCCTTTAGTACTTTGTTGTAAAAAGTTTCGGGTCCTTATTTTTAGTTGAAATTAACCATAAATGATTTATTACTATTGCCAAAATGGAGCTGGCAAACACCCTCTCCTACCCCCAAGAATACAGAGATTATATTTTCAATTACAAATGTATGATTTGCAAATTGACTAGAAAGGGTAAAGATAAAAGGGGGAAACACTGGGGTGACATCATTGTAGGGGTTTACTATAGACTACCAAATCAGAAAGAAGAGGTGGATGAGCCATTTTTAGAACAAACAACAGAAATATCCAAAACACAAGATCTTGTAGTAATGCAGGAATTTAAATACCCAGACATCTGTTGGAAAAGTAATACAGTAAAGCACAAAATTCCAGTAAGTCCTTGAAATTCAGGACAACTTTTGTTTCAGAAAGTGGAGGAATAACAAGGAGGACAGCCATTTTAGATTTGATCGTGAGTGACCAACAGGAAGGAATTGGTTGTGAATCTGAAGGTGTAAGGCAGTTTGGATGAAAGTGACCATGAAATCATAGATGTTATGATTCTAAGGTCAGGAAGGAGTGAGAGCAGCAGAATAAGGATAACTGATTTCAGAAAAGCAGATTTTAATGAACTTAGAGAACTGGACTGTAAGCTCCCATGGGAATTAAAATCTAAGGAATAAAGGAGTTCAGGAGAGCTGGTAGTTTCTCAAGGAGACAATATTACATGCACAACTGTAAACTATCCCAATGCGAAGGAAAGATCAGAAGAATAGTAAGATGCCAATATGCTCCATCAGGAGCTTTTTAATGACCTGAAAAATGAAAAGGAATCCTCAAAAAAAAAAAAAAGGTCCTTAACAATTTGTCCATATTTCCTATCTTTTAAAAAGAGAAACAGAGGACACCGAGAAGTATAGACCTATCAGCCTAACTTTGATACTTGGAAAGTGTGATGTTATTGAATTGAACTGGGACCATATAGAACATTGTTGCAACAAAGGTACTGTAGTGGCACCAATCTTGTATAAAGGGGATCAAATAAGGTGTCTCAGACAAGGTTATGGTTCGCTGGTTATGATTATTCTATGTGTATCATTTTTGTAGTTAAAGTTATGAATATTGGCTCTATACTGTCTGTAGTTCAAACTTGTGCTATGCTTCTGGGTGACACCCCAGACAAGTTGGTGTCAGCTCTGCCTAGCCTGCTTGATGGCCCATTAAGGACCATCAGCTATACAATTTCAGAGTAGCAGCCGTGTTAGTCTGTATCTGCAAAAAGAAAAGGAGTACTTGTGGCACCTTAGAGACTAACAAATTTATTTGAGCATAAGCTTTCGTGAGCTACAATTGACCCATTGAGAGAAGGGAGACGTGCCTTGGGACTCAACAAGGCATGCAGGGACATGCCTATGGACAGAACTCTGAGGTTTTTCCATGCCATGTGATGGACAGCTTGTCTTTGGAACAAAGAAAGACCACCTGGCAACAGAATATAAAAAGCTGCTGCAGCTCCTCCATCTTGTCTTCAATCCTGCTTCATACCTCTGGAGGGACTTTGCTACACTGAAGCTTTGAACCAAGGACTGAAAGACCCATCCCAGCTGCGGATATACTCCAGAGACTTGATTTGAACCTGCAGTTTATTCTACCACTGCTGCAAGCCTGATCCAAGAACTTTGCCATTACTGTATGTAATTGATTCCATTTAACCAATTCTAGCTCTCATCTGCATCTTTTTCCTTTTATGAATAAACCTTTAGATTTTAGATTCTAAAGGATTGGCAACAGCGTGATTTGTAGGTAAGATCTAACTTGTTTATTGACCTGGGTCTGGGGCTTGGTCCTTTGGGATCGAGAGAACATTTTTTCTTTTACTGGGGTACTGGTTTTCATAACCATTTGTTCCCATAACCAGTGGCACTGGTGGTGATACTGGGAAACTGGAGTGTCTAAGGGAATTGCTTGTGTGACTTTTATGGTTAACCAGTGGGGTAAAACTAAAGTCTTCTCTGTTTGGCTGGTTTGGTTTGCCTTGGTGTGCATAGAAGCCCCAGCCTTGGGCTGTAACTGCCCTGCTCTAAGCAATTTGTCCTGAATTGGCACTCTCAGTTGGGTCCCGCCAGAACCAGCATCGTTACAGAAAGCTACTGAATAAATGATTAAACCATCAGTTTGTAAGCACCGAAAGGATAATAGGTTTATAAATAATAGCCAGCATGGATCTGGGGATGATAGTGGATCATAAATTGAATATGAGCCAACAATGTGATGCAATTGGGAAAAAGGCTAATATTATTCTGGGGTGTATTAACAGAAATGTCACATGTAAGACATGGGAGATAACTGTCCTGCTCTACTCAGCACTGGTGAGGCCTCAGCTGGAGTGCTGTGTCCAATTCTAGATGTCACACTTTAGGAAATATATGGATAACTTGGAGAGAGGCCAGAGGAGAGCAACAAAAATTATAAAATTATTAGAAAAACTGACCTATGAAGAAAGGTTAAAAAAAACCTGGCATCTTTAGTCTTGAGAAAAGAAGACTGAGGGGGGGACAGCATGCTAACAGCATGTTAAGTGCTGTTATAAAGAGTCTAGGTTTACTTGGTTCTGCCTCAGTGCAAGGAGCTGGATTTGAAGGCCTCTTGAGTTCCCTTTCAGCCCGACATTTCTGTGAAACCTGGGAGAGATTTGGGGGTTGCAGACATACCCTCTAGAGCATTTGACAAAAATACAGTGGAGCAAAGTCCAGAGCTAGACACTGTTCATCTCAGTTTGATTTAAAAGAAAGAAAAAAAGAAAAAAGAAACACTGTTCAGTCTCAGACAAAATGTGGACTGTGATTGCCAGAGCAACAGCTCAACCGTGTGGCCAGGACAGCATGTTCCCAGCCCCTGTCACCAATTCATGGGGGAGCACTCAGTCCTAGATGGGATTTTGTTTAAAGATACCAGGATGGTGGTTCCTAAGGTGTTAGAAAAAAAATATTTTTAAAAGGATACATGAAGGTCATTTAGGGACTGAAAAATCTAAGAAGACCTAGAGACATTTTATAGTAGCCTCAAATGAACAGCAGCATTGAGGAAACTGTCAAGGCTTGTTCCATATACGAGAAATACAGGCCACACCAAGCAAGTGAACCCCCATGTAAATGGCATAGGAAAAAATGCCCCATGGGAGCAAAGTAGTCATAGATATACGTTTATGTTGGTTGGAAAAAATAATTTATTTGTTTTAAACTTACTCTAATTTCATTGAGATTGTTTTACTATTATGATTATTATTTATTATCTGTATTATTGTAGCACCTAGTACTAGAAGATACTACAGCTAAACAGGTGATTGTACACGTCAAATCTGTTTTTGCTAGGCATAGTATTTCTGACATAATAATGTCAGACAGTGGACCACAGCTTACTGGGCATAGGTTTAAGCAGTTTACAGTACAGTTTGGGTTAGACATGTAATCAGTAGTCCCCATTATCCCCAATCCAACAGGTTGGTGGAAAGTGGTGTTAAAATCATAAATAGCAACTGAAAAAGGCTGCAGAGTCAGACTCTGATCGGTACTTAGCACTGTTAAGTTGCAGGATGGCAGCAATAAAATATGGTTTGTTAGCTGTAGAAATATTGTTTATCAGAAACTGAGAACTTGACTCCCTGTAATGGTAGAAGCTGATGTCAGAGGAAGTGGGGACTTGCAGAAGTATGAAGAGACAGATAAAGCTAAACATAAAAACGCAACCTGGTTTGGGGGTCTGGGAACTGCCACCACTTCCTGAAAATGATGTCGTGTTCATCTGTGATGGAGATCAGTGACAGTGGTGTCACGTGAGGTTGCCCCACAGTCTTAATGTTTGTCACACGAGACAGACACATGCTGAGGAGTAGGCAACACCTTTTCCAATTTCCAGAAGGGAGGGAGATATGAAGCAGTGAGTTGAAATAATACAACAGGTTGAGACAGCCAAACCCTAGGACATCACACTATCAGAACAAATTACCATCTCCTGTCAACAGTAGTACTGATATTTCCAGGGAGATTTCCACAAGTCCAAGGAACAGTGCAAGGCACCTCAGAGATTAATTGAACATTGTTAATAAGTTTTGTTAGCAGGTGGGGGCTATACATTTTGGAATTGTGTGTTGTATCACATTAAGTGTTGTTATAATTAAGTTTGACTGGGAAAGGAAGATGTGATTTGAGGACTGTATCTTTTAGTGGCATAGCTTCACAGACAGGAAGTTCTGGCTGCAGAAGCCATGTTCTTTTATGCAGAGGCAGTGGAACTGGTCAGTGAATTGAGTATTTCTTTCAAGCCCTTTGGGCCCAAAGTGATTCCTGAACGCTACAGGCCACTGACTTCAATGTGGCAAGGATTTCTCCCCTGGTTTCTATTACTGGTTTTGATACTGCCTTCCTCAGTGACCCTGAATAAGTCATTCTCTGTGTGTTTCTCTATGTTTAAAAAATGGTGTCATTTCCTAACTTCTTGGGATTGTTGAGGCTTGGTTCATTAAAATGTATAAATTATTTTTAGATCCTTTGGTGGAACATTATATGTCAGTGCAAAGTATAATTTATTATTAAATGTGATTTTTATGTCTTTACAGGGGGCTTACTATAGCTAAGAAGATTGCTCTTGATCATTTGTGAAAAGAAGATTCAATTTGTTTAGGAAATCGTCCCAAAAAGGGAGCAATAAACTGAAGATTTTTATTTTTGCAAATTTTTAACAGGCTTTATGCTTTATTTCATATCAAATTTACTTAAAGAAAGAGTGGCTGCATGATTATATGTGTAAATAGTGTTTAGTATTAATCCTTTTCACACTTGGATTACTATACAAAGAGTTTCAGAGTAGCAGCCGTTTTAGTCTGTATTCGCAAAAAGAAAAGGAGTACTTGTGGCACCTTAGAGACTAACCAATTTATCTGAGCATAAGCTTTTGTGAACTACAGCTCACTTCATCGGATGCTCACTTCATGGAAGGGGAAAGTACAGTGAAGAGATATATATATATACATACATACACACACAGACCATGAAAAAATATACATTGTATATACAAAGAGTTAATGAATTCACTATATGCATTGCAGTAATATAGGAATATTGGCTTAAGAAGGTTCTATAGTACCCTTTTTGTTAAGAAATCCAAATCAAGTATCCATTGCAGATATATTACATTTTATCCTTGAAGTCCATTCTGCATTTGCTCTGTTACTTAATAAAATCCTGGAGTGTGTACATGCATATGAAGAAAATAAAGCAAGTTCACTCAACTCTAAAAAGATGTATTGCCAACTTCCGTTGAAATGAATGGCATTTTTAAAAAAGAAATGTAACTGAGTGTGCTTGTTTATGGTGTTGCAAAACTAACAAATTATCGGTAAAGTTAGCCTCAGATGTTTCTCTACCCAACTGCGCTTGGCTTTTTCCCCTTTAATGAGGGTTGAAAATAATTTTGGAAGGTTACTAAAAAATTGCAATCTATCCATTTTTCCTAGAAGGTCAGTTATATGATACAGTGACATTTCTGCTTAATTAGTGTTTGTGAATACAGTGCAAGCTTGTAATCATATTTATACTTTTCAGATTGTATTAGTGAAAAAAAAGTCATGATGATAATATGTTGCAAAAATTCTCCCACGATAAAACTTCCACAGTGCAATATAACAGGAGTGTCCATTCTCTTTGATCCTGAAGTATGAGTGATAAGTGTTCTGTTATCAACGGCTAATAGTTCAGTTAGTGCCCAATGTTTAAGATAAACCAGATTCCATCCTATTTAAATGCAGTACTAGTTTAAAGATAACCACAGAATGAATCCTATGAAAGTTCACATAATGAAAAAATCTCAGTATCTGTATATGCTATATTTAAAGTAAAAAAAAAAAAATTTTATAGCATCCATTTCTGATTCTCTTCTTTTGAGTGGCTGTAGCGTGGAAGAGGAACATAATTTGTCCAGCCAGCCAGCCAGCTTTCCCTGTTTGAATGAAAATGTTCTAAGTTAACACTTTCTAGGAAGAACACTGACATTTATGTAAAAACTTGCTTTCCACAAACACGTGTCAATAAAATATCATTGAACTTTAATACAACAGATGCATGATTATGACTGAAATAAATTCATCTGAACGTTTAAATGAATAGGATTAACACTATTTCCCCAGATCGACTGACCACACACTTTCTGGACTTCATGATCTATATTATGCATCTTTAATTGACTGATTAGGCATTAGACAAATTGTACTACATTTCCTTTCCTCTGCCCTAAACATAAAATAACCAATAATCTTGGAAATATGCAGAAGGGGACAGTTAAGAAGTAGCCTGGTGTATTTGGGTGGAGTAGTTTGGTAAAGGCCATTCTGGAAGGTTGGCATACCTGGGTGGGAAAAGAGTTAGTTTACTTGTAGTATATGATGTACAATAGTTGTGGTAGTGATAGGTGGAGAAGAAGATATATGCTGTTAGGCGACTTAACTTGTAATTTTCTTGGGTTTGTGTCAGGCATAGTAGATGTGGGGCAACCTTAACTAATGCACAAGAGAGATTTTGTGTATGAATATACTGTAGATTAGGCTGGTAGCATCACATATTACTAAGGTTGTCTGACACTTCCCATGCTAAGACCCTGTTTTCAGTTGCTTATATCTTTGCCAGACTTGAACTGTTCAGGCTGAAATTCTACATGTCATGTCTGCCTCAGGCTCCCTTTTTGTTCCCTTTTTCTTTTTTTTTAAATTTTCAGCCAAAACGGTTCAGCTACGTCTGAGAATGAGGCTACTGAAATAGATATGGTTTTGTCCATATTAAAAATGGTGACAACTTTTTATTTTAGAAACTCTAGTATCCCCATACTTTGAAGCAAGGCCTTGAAATTTGGCAGGGGGTGGCCTTTGTGTCAGGGATGGATCTTTCTCTGTTCCTGTGAAAGTCTGTTCCTATAAAAGTCTGCCCAAATTTGGCCAAGTTATAAGCCTATGAAAAACAACAGTTTGCACATGCTCAGGAACGTGCTACAGCTTGGCAACTAAAAACACCAAAGATTTGGTCATCACTGAGCATGATACAGCCCAGAGCTGAGCTGAACTTTCCCTGCAATTGGAGCCCTAGGCTGGATCCAGGCACTGGAATTGAGAGCACAGATTCTCTCTCTACTGTGTTCTTCCTGCTGGGCCCAAGCAACACAGTGAAGGAAGCTGCCTGATTTGAGCACAGAGGACAAAACAGCCAGACCTTGGGTTGTCGAGAGAATAGATTGGGACAAGGAGTCCTGAAGAGGGGAAAAAGATTATAAAGTCATATCATGTGATGATGATATCACCCTTTTTCATTCCATTTCCATCTGACGAGGATGTTAAATAGTAGCTACTAGAGTCAGACATTTTTAAATCAGCAGGTCCATATAACTTGCATCCAAGAGTTTTAAAAGAGCTGGCTAAGGAGCTCACTGGACCATTAATGTTGATTTTCAATAAATCTTGGAACACTGTGGAAGTTCCAGAAGACTATAAGAAAGCTAATGGTGTGCCAGTATTTAAAAGGGGTGAATGGAATCACCTGGGTAATTATAGCCCTGTCAGTCTGACATTGCTCCTGGCAAGATAACGAAGTGGCTGATACAGCACCTGATTAATATAGAATTAAAGGAGGGAAATATAGTTAATGCAAACAATGTGGGTTAGTGGCAAATAGATCCTATCAAATTAACTTAATATCTTTATTTGATGAGATAACAAGTTTGGTTATAAAGGTAATAGTGTTGATATAATACACTTGGCCTTCTGTAAGGCCTTTGACTTGGTATCACATGACATCTTGATTAAAAAACTAGAACGATATAAAATTAATATGGCACACATTCAGTGGATTTAAATGATAGGTCTAAAAATGTGATTGTAAACGGGGAAATATCATTGAGTGTGTTTCTAATGGATCCCACAGGGATTGGTTCTTGGCCTCACGCTATTGAACATTTTTATTAGGGACCTGGAAAAAAAAACTTCAAATTATCTCTGATAAAGATTGCAGATGATACA